TCAACATTATGTATTGATGCCACTTCCGTCTTCTAATATAATGGCTACTAAATTAACACAGGATATATTAGTCTCTATTGATGAGAAATCTGGAATTGTGTGTTTGGATGCTGAGAAAGTTGGCTCAGAAAATTAGAAAGAAAAGTAAATCTGGAATTTTCCTCTGATTTCATTCACTTTAATAATAATAATTGCAGTAGTTTTCTTTTATACAAGATAGAAACCCAGCTATGAATAATAACCAGTAACTAACATCTAACAACAGATTTAAGCTAAACACACAGGTGTCATCATCTGAGCCTTCTTGATCTACATGTGATTTTCTGTGTGCAGGTTCAGAGTTGTTAGTATGAACTTGTATTGATGGCTGAGACATACTTGTAACATCTATATTTGTCTTTTTCTAAGAATCCAAATACCACACCAGCGAGGTAAAGACTTATATGTATTTGGAGATAGAAGGTTTGGTTAAGGTGCACTTCAAAATTCAGGTTACCAAATCAAATTGGGGAAAAAATGGTCCCAACTTCCCATATATGTTGAAGGTAATTAAGTTTCCTACGCATGCCACAACTGGAGGGTAAGACTTCTTCTTCTTCTTCTTCCCTGTAATCTTCTTTAAAAAATTTCTTCTCTCCTAAAGACCTTATTTTCCTCTGGTGAAAATGAAGTTGTTGGATGTGGAGGAGGCCAAGAAGCAGGTCTTGTTTTCACTGCCAACAACTCTCACTAATGTGATGTTTTACTTCATCACTTTGGTGTCCGTGATGTTTGCTGGCCGCCTTGGTCAGCTTCAACTAGCTGCTGCAAACCTAGCCATGTCATGGGCTAGTGCCACCGGCCTTGCTGTTGTGGTAATAGTATTACTCATTAATTTCTCCAGATAAATATATTAGCAATTTTCCATTGCCAAGTAGTTATAAGGGTAATTTTACATTTGACCATAATTTAATTTATTGGATTATGTATTGAAGAATTGACTCTCTCTCTCTCTCTCTCTCTCTCTCGGTTTAGATTGGCTTAAGTGGAGCGCTCGAGACCCTTTGTGGGCAAGCCTTTGGTGCCAGGGAGTATGGCATGTTAGGGAAGTACCTGCAAGCCTCATGCCTGATATCCTTGCTAGCTTCCTTGCTTATTTCCCTACTTTGGTTCTTTTCGGAGCCAGTTTTGATTTCGTTGTTACACCAAGACGCAGAGGCCTCAAAACTCTCTGCGGTCTTTATGAAGCTGTTCATTCCTGGATTGGTTGCATTTGGCATCCTCCAGAACGTTTTAAGATTTCTTCAAACCCAGTCTGCTGTTGTCGTCCCTTTTATATTCTCCTTCATCAGCCTCGGCCACCACATAGGCCTCACCTATTATCTTGTCCACTTCACTCCTCTGGGCTTCAGAGGTGTTCCACTTGCAGCTTCCATTTCCCTCTGCTTATCTCTTCTTATGTTCGCCGTCTACATTCTTCGTTCAAAGAAATTCGAGTCTACATGGGAAGGTTTCTACCTGGCATCATTCAGTCACGTCCCTGCGGTTTTGAGGCTTGGCCTCCCTGGTGCCGCAGTGGAATGGTAAGTGTCCTCCAAAATGTTCATTATTTAAAGTAGGTTGCTTTTGGTATATCTTTTGTTATTTATATAAATCAATCCAGCTTGGAAGACTGGACCTTCGAGGTTTTAGTCTTCATGGCAGGAGCATTTCCACATCCAACACAGACCACGTCCCTACTTGGGATATGGTAAGTTTTATTTATTTATATATACAAATAATTAAATTGTTATTTCCCGTTTGGACACTCTTTTGTTTTATTTATTTATTTATTTTGATGTATATTAATCATAGTGTCAATGTGGAGTTAATTGGTTATATGGTGTCATACGGCCTCAGTGCTGCTGTCAGGTTGGTGAAATAATAGTAACACTATTTATTTTTCAAGTAATTTTGTCAATTGATCAAGTGCTTTTATATAATTTTGATTAATTGTTTACATAAAATAATAATATTGTGGCAGCACGAGAGTTTCAAACGAACTGGGAGCAGGCAATCCAGAGAAAGCTAAGAGTGCCATGACTGTGGCTCTTAAGTTGTCTGGCTTTCTTGCTTTCCTTCTTGGTCTAGCACTGGCAATTGGCCACAACTTCTGGGCTGGCTTATTCGGCGGCACACCGGAAATAGTAAAAGCCTTTGCATCCATGACGCCTTTGGTTGCAGTCTCTGTGATCCTTTGAACCTCTACAAGGTGTTGTTTTAGGTATAAAAAAACTTTGGTTCCATTTTTCCTGTTTTCTTTTTCATGGGGTGCTTGCAAGTTGCATGAGAAATGATTGGGGTTGGGGTTTTTTCTCTCAGGTGTGGCCACAGGATGCGGGTGGCAAAAGTTGGTCTGCTATGTTAATCTGGCCACATATTTGATTGGCATGGCTATTTCGGGCCTTCTTGGGCTCACGACCGAGTTACATGCCAAGGTGAGAGAGAGACATTTGTGTTGTTTATACGGAAAGACTATAATGAGGGCTTAAAGTGAGGAGGTTATTTGAGGAGGTCAAATCTCACCATCAACAAATGTAAAGAAATCATGGGACTTAAATATTTTAAATGTTTTGACGGTCGGATCGGTCTCCTCAAATAACCTCCTCACTTTAACTCCTCATTGTATAAGCTCCCGTTGTTTATATGCTCAGCTAGTTGATTGGTATTTTTCAATATTGAAGTTTGTGCTTAATTCAATCTCTTATGATTTTTCAGGGCTTGTGGATTGGACTAATGTTTGGCATCTCTTGTCAAACGAGCATAATTTTGGTCACTGTACTGCTCAAGAATTGGGCTCCTCGATCTGGTACCGCCTGAACCAGCCTCCAAGTCTTAGTATGTTCTTTTAACAATCTTTTCTTTGGGCCTCTGGCCCGCCATTGTTCCAACAGAGAAATCGGGCAAAAATTCAATCTCGGTCTTTCTTCGCCAGTTTTAATTTTATCAATTTTATTCTTTATGAGAGAGTCAATTCCTCCAACATTTGCCAACACTGCACAATGCCTTAATTTTGTCAAAGCTTCCTTCACATCCACAAAGCTCAAGCTTTACCAATCTAGTGCACCCTGAACTAAAATGAGTAGATGACCTTGTGAATGAAAATTTCAGCATGGTTGAGTTGTGTGTATGTCTTTTTTTGGGTCAATCTGCTCACCGGAGAGCTTCGTAAGCAAACTAACATATTTTTTGATAGAATCCAGCAGTAAGTACACAAATAATGTGTGGGGTTAACATGAAGGATGATTCCAGACAATAACAAAAAAGAAAGATGAGGAATTGTTACTAGTAGTTTCATGAACCTTAGAACGTCTTGTGATAAAAACCCTAAAAAAAATAAAGTAACTTCAGAGATCTGTGGGGCTACGCAGAGCTCCTACATACATGTATCATTTGATTCATTCTCTCATGCATACTTCCAAACACATTCATTCATTCCAGTTAGCAGCTAAAACACGTGCCTACATATTAAATGTGTTCAACAAATCTTTCCAAAAACTTAATTGTTGGAATTGACTTCAGAATTGGTAGGAAGTCGAGGAGTATGCAAAGAACCGTTGGGATCCAAACATGAAGTGCGAATCGGCCATGACAGCCCTTAACCTCAGCCCGACCATACTCACAAATGCTATTGCAAGTCAAAAATCTAACGTGTCTCAACAAATTTTTTTTTTGCTAATTAAGCCAATAATATCGATCGAAGCAGAGAATAACCAAATTCCTGAATAAATTACAAAAATTCAATAAATGCTAGGCCATCCATATCTGAATAAGGTATGGTCAAGGTTTCAAATGTACCCCACTTTTTCTTAAAACAAAAAGTTAATGGAGCTTTTAAACCTAATTATGAAATCATCTTGAAAAGTATTATCGAACATATATTATCATCAATGCATTACTAGTAAGCCACCTCCATCTACGTGGGCAAAGGTTTAAAATTCTCACACTTAATGAATATTTATGTAAACCTCCCTCTCCCAATCACTTGTACTGAAAAAAAAAAAAGGTTTTTACAAATAAACCCATTTTAGCACGACATATTATACAAAAACCTATGTAGAGCCTATTTAGAGAAAAACTCAAAGCTAGTCACTTGTCATTTTCTAATTTGATCTTTTACTTATTAGAGTTCGAAGATAGGTTATATGAGGTGTGCATTTGTTGGCTCATGTAATTATGTGAGGTCCCCCCCACTGACAGACCTACATAGAGCCTAGTGTGGGCAGCTGCCTACACTTAATTTCTTCTTCAACCATGTAGGCTACCATAAATAAGACATTTGGTCAACAAATAAATAAAACCTTCAAGATTTTAACCCAAATTTCTCATATTCAAAATATCATGGCCTCAAAATTGACAAAATATCAAGGCGCAGTTCAATAAATGACTTAGTTTGTCCTCTCTGGCACGTGCATTTTGTGTTTATAAAATAAACAGTTATATAAATATATAATATTGTTACATAAATAAATATTATTATATTATTATATAATATTTATGCCCACACTTAGACAAGATGCTGCGTCCGCCACTGGTCCCCACCATAGTGGTACCGAGCCTCATATGATTTTGTATGAGAAAGAGAAAAAGCATACGCCTATGCAGCAAAGCACATCTAAGATTATTGTGGTAGTCATCTAAAACACGAAAATGCTAGAACCATGATAGATAATTGTGAATCACATGATGATCATTGTATATGTGGATAGTTTTTAATCGGTGATTGATATGAGTCTCACGATCAGTTTCATTTAAGGTAATAGATAATCGGTGATTGATATGAGTCTCACGATAGGTCTCATTTAAGACAACAACTAACAAATGTTCACACATAAATAAATAATATTGTCAACTAGAGTTGCTCTTTAGGTTGGGGATGTTGCACTTTATTATCAGCCATGAAAAGGACTTTGTTTCGGTCTTAGAAAAATCTAAAACCACGTATAGTTTTTAACAAACAAACTATCAACACCAAAAAGAAATCAGGAGATGATATGAACTTGTATATATATATATATGCATAGTGTCTGAAGCAGGAGGTATAGGAGGAGGAAAAACAAAGCTCAAAAACATCGCATCCCATAGAAAAAGAAGGTGAGGGATCGCATTCCACACAAAAAAAAAAAAAAGAAAAAAAAAAAAGGAGATGGAGATGTTAGCAAACACAGGTCACTCGGATAGAAATATTACTACACCCTTATTGGAGGCAGGTAGTCATGGAGAAGAAGGAACAAAAAGAAAGAGGAGGTCATGGAAGAAAGTGTACTTGGACCTGGTGGAGGCCGAAAAACAGGTATTGTTTTTACATTAATGTTCTGGTTCCTATCACATTCGATCACTTTTCTGGTCATGTTATAGTTATCAATTTATTTTTTCTTTGGTTGATGAAACTGGAAAGTGCAGATTCTAATTTAGCAGAATATTGGTGTACACACAGTCACATGGATGGAATAAGGCAGTGCATAAAATTACAAATATATATAACGTATGATTGAAGTACGTACCAAACAATTTGACCAAGAAAAGAACAAATATACCATAAAAATGTCTATGATTGGAGTCTTGAAGATCAGAAAACGAAAGTCTTATTGTTGTACTCTAGTTATACAGTGGTTCATGACTATATATTTGACATAATAATTTCTCCGAAATCTTTGTCATTGAGTCATTGACCACCATTGACCTCTCCTTCCCAGCTTGTGGCTACAGTTTTTACCTTCTTTATTGTTGATTTTTTTTTTTTTTCTCACAATTCAGCTGCTTAATTTACAAGTTCAATTTATATAATCTATTCTAGGTTGCGGGGAAGATGATTGCTGAAGGTGGGAAATTCAACCTTTCTTTTGTATTACTTTTCTAGCTAGCATTTTCTCAAAAATCAATTCTACTTGGCACTAGTTAAGTACATCTAGCTAAAAATTAAGTTCAGAAAATTCCAGTTATAACTCTTTATGGTATGGATACTGTAAAAAACTGGTCATCAGCTGCTTTGTTTTATTTTCATGAATACACTCAGAGGGGCAAAACTGAAATTTTTTGGACAATGGTTTGAGTGCTGGGTGTGCTGATCGGTTTCTTGGATGCATGCATTTCCCTATAACCAGATTACCTATTGAGCTTCTCTATTTAGTAACATAAGTTTTCTGATCAGATGTACTATCTGCTTTTTTCTTCTTTTTAGTTCTGGAAATTTGATATCCAAAAATTGCACGAATATTCCAATTTTAAGTCATTAGTTAGGCAGGTGGGCATGGAGAAGAAGGATGCGAAAGAAGGTGGTGGAACAACCTGTTAGACATTGAGGAGGCCAAAAAACAGGTCTTATTTTCATTGCCAATAATTCCCACCAATGTGTTCTTTTCCTTGATCCCATTGGTCTCAGTCATGTTTGCTGGCCACCTTGGTGAGCTTCAGTTGGCTGGTGCAACCCTGGCCAACTCATGGGCCAATGTTACTGGTTTCGCGCTCGTGGTAATTTCCCAGTCACATAAGAAAATGTTTGGTTGTCAGACAGTTTGTAACATGATATCTTTAATAAAGTGAAATAAGATCATAGATGGCCTTTTATTTTAATTGTTTTCTTGTCTGTTATTTTTTGGTTTAGGTTGGTTTGAGTGGAGCTCTTGAGACACTTTGCGGACAAGGCTTTGGTGCAAAGTCGTACAGAATGTTGGGGATTTATCTACAAGCCACTTGCATCATATCCTTCCTGTTATGTTCCATCATATCCATAATCTGGTTCTATACAGAGCCCTTACTGATTTTACTCCGTCAAGATCCTCAAATTTCAAAAACTGCAGCTCTCTTTTTGAAACATCTAATCCCTGGATTATTTGCATATGGATTCCTGCAAAACATCTTGAGATTTATTCAGACACAATCTGTATATGTCATGCCAATGGTCTTCTCAGTGATTGCGATTATTTTTCATATTGGCATCACATATGGTTTGGTACATTGGACAGCTCTTGGGTTCTTGGGAGCTCCAATTGCAGCCTCAATTTCTCTATGGTTATCTGTTCTTATGTTGGCCTTCAATGTCAGTTGTACAAAGACTTTTGAGCGTACGTGGGAAGGATTTTCGTTTGAATGTTTCGATTATATCCTCACTGGCTTAAACCTGGCCCTCCCCTCTGCAACAATGGAATGGTAAGTGGACATCCTTCAAGCTCTTATTACTTATATGCCGAATAATGTTCTCTTGTCATACATACATGAGATGAATAGTCTGACAGCATAACAGCCTGACCCTGTGACACAAGAACACTTTATCTTTTATAGATCTTTATTGTCAATGTTTAAGTCCAGCAATTTTTTTCTCTATTTTTTGGCTTTCTAGTTTGGAGGAATGGGGTTTTGAGATTCTAGTGCTCTTAGGTGGATTGATGCCAAACTCTGCAAAAACAAGTTCACTACTTGCAATGTGGTAAGCTGCCTTAATTAATATATTTCTCCTTAGTTTTTCTGCTGTAACATGTTATTTCTGGTTACTAAAAAGAGCTTTTGCTCAATTATATATCTGCAGTGTAAATACACAAGAAATTGGTTACAAAATTACATATGGCCTCATTGCTGCTGCCAGGTTAGTAGACTAAAAGCTCCTAGCTGTTTCTTCAACTCCAAGTTTTCTATTAATTTCATACATTGAAAATAAATTATACTTATTGTGGCAGCACAAGGGTGTCAAATGAATTGGGAGCAGGCAATCCAGATAGGGCTAAGAATGCAATGGTTGCGACTCTTAAGCTCTCCGTGCTTCTTTCTTTCACGATTATTCTGGCTCTTGTGTTTGGTCACAATATTTGGGTTGCCTTCTTCATTGACAACAATGCAAGTTATGCAGTATTGAGAGAGGAGTTTGCTTCCATGACACCATTGCTTGCAATTTCAATAATTGTTGATTCTGTTCAAGGTGTCTTTTCAGGTAGAGATCACTTACATTTCAACTTTGTTCTCTCTCTCTCTCTCTCTCTCTCTCTCTATATATATATATATATATATATAAATTGGTGTAAATTAATTTGATTAGGGTTTTTCAGGTGTGGCTAGAGGATGTGGGTGGCAACACTTGGCTGTGTATGTAAATTTGGCAACATTCTATTTGATTGGTATGACAATTGCTGGTCTTCTTGGATTCAAGTTCAAACTATATGCCAAGGTGAGGCAACCTGGTGTTACATTACCAAGCAGCTACTAACTTCATTTGATTTGTTTTGTTAAATAGTTCACTGAATTCAGATTTTTGTTTTGCTTTGTTTTGGTACAGGGCTTGTGGATTGGTATAACCTGCGGTCTCTCCTTTCAAGCAAGCACACTCTTGCTGATTACACTGCTCAAGAAATGGCCCCGATCAGATTTATCTAAAAATCCAGAGGAAGGAAACCCAGTTTTGGTCTAGATAAATGTAAGGCAAAAGTAATTGTTAAACAACAAATTACCATTTGGGGAAAACTTAGTTTATGCATTCATCGAAAAATAAAACAAAATAAGAGTATCCATGAAGTAACATTGTTTGGCGATATGTCTACGTTCATGAGATAGCATTATTAAATTCTTCGACTATATCAAGCAACAGGTACAATAAAAGCAGTCTCGTTCTCCTGGACCCCCCTGTGGTCCAAGGAGTTTGGTCACCCACACCCACCTTGATTTCAAATCTGGGTTCCTCCATCATTCAAATCTAGGATTTCAAATCATAAAAATTGAATCAAAGGTGGTGAAGAAGAACAACAAGTCATAAAAATTGAATGAAATAACCTTATACGGATTTAAAATCAGTTTTTTCTTCGCCCTTAAATTAGATCCAAAGGTGGGTAACCACAAACTCATTGGACCATAGGGGTCCAGAAGAAAGGACAACGGGACTGACAACCAACAAAAGGACCATCTTACCAAGATTTGATGTATATGCACAAGAAAGTACAAGAATGGAGGCCACACGTTACAACCTACAAAATACAAATCACCTTCTATGGTGCACACTCGGATCATATAAGATTGGATTAAGAGGATTTCACTAATAAAACTCTCTCTTTATATAACTTTTGTATGTTCATATATCATCCATTGAACGTAGCCACGAGTCACGACCTAAGAACACTCTCAATTGTCGCTCTACAGCTCCTCCATAACTCCTTTGTAGTACTGTCACCATCATCGCACAACTTTTGCGGAAAAATTTAGCTAAAACAAACTCCAGTTTTTTGAACACCATTAGATTTAACCTTACATGAAAAAAAAGAAAAAAAAGAAAAAGAAAGAAGATCTGATGCAATGGATATACTCATCTATGTAATCCATAACATTAGTTTTTTCCTTAATTTTTTTTAACGATGTCTCGAGCCATGACATATCTTCTCTATATCTTTTGGAGTGCAAAGAAGAAAGAGCAATAATACAGATTCACCAACCCAAATAAACTTCAAAATAAAGACATAATGAAACTAGTACGAAAAAGCAGATCTGAGTCTCATCAACTATGAAAACTCGAGCAAGAAAGATAGTCGGCTTTGGATCCAACACACACATCTTCCTCGTTTCTACATGCACAATATATGCCGCTTGGTACTGGCGGTGGGTTGGGTGACTGCAACAAGGACAACAATGGTCCCAAAGTTGAAACATTTATTTTTTATTTTATTTTTTAAAAGTTAAGAATTTAACCCTTAGGTAATTAAATAGATGATGTGGACAATGACATGGAATGCCATGTCATATGCCACATCAGTTGGTGCCTCTAGCATTACCACAAAAAGTTTATATGCAGTGCAGCATTTTGAAACCTAATTATCTAATAATTATTTAAACGTATTAGTGACCATATATATTATCATCACTGATATGTAAACTATTGGTGACGGACTTTTGATCATTTAATAAAAAGTTCTTCAAGTTGAAAGTCTTCTGCTCCGGTATATTTTCTTGCTCTCTCATCAAAGGGAAAAAATTGAAACAACCATAAAAATTCAAAGCTATTATTTACTGATTAGGGTAAGAAAATCCCACATCGAAAATCCACAATCCTATAAAGGTGTTTATAAACAAGGCACTATGATGATTTGGTAAGTATGGTTAACAATAGTGAGTTGTACTATATTATATTTTAATATAAATTATTTACAATTTTTTAAATATATATTATTTTTATTCAATAATATGTGAGAATTATGTGTATAATATGTGAATTTTGTGTGCCTTATTGAATTTTTTTTTTAAAAATACGTGTATTAAACATGAAAACTACGTATGTGCCTATATAATACGAGTATTGTACATTTGATTTTAAAAACAACGTGGACTTTACCGAGTCTTTAGGACGTTTGCAAAATACGGATGTATTATTGAAAAATACGTATGTACGTGTATAATACATTATTAAACGGGAAAGTGCTAAAATCTTTATACGGGTAACTTACTATTTATTAAGTCATTTTCGAAATCAATAACATATTTAAATATTAACTAAAGAAATAATAATTAAAACATAATTACTAATTAAAGTAATTCAAAAAGACTAAGATATTACTTAATTACATAAATTAAATTAAAGAAGTTGGCAAAAAAAACAAAAATAAAGAAACTAATTTTATGTTTTCAAAATTAAAACAAAACTTAAAAACCTCTCCCGATGAAAGTTCGTCGGCACAGGTCTATGCCGGTGAAATCTGAAGGCCTAACATAGTATAAAAATTAAGACGATGGAGTATCGCCGAGCGGCTATACTATTTTTGAAAGAAATAATAGAGGACCCGCGTTGCGATTAGGCAGGCTCCAGATGTCAAAATAGGTATAGCCGGCGGCGATACTATTAAAAAAAAGAAGGTATATTATTCTAGTGCTCTTAGGTGGATTGATGCCAAACTCTGCAAAAAAACAAGTTCACTACTTGCAATGTGGTAAGCTGCTTTAATATATTTCTCCTTAGTTTTTCTGGTTACTAAAAACAGCTTTTGCTCAATTATATCTGCAGTGTAAATACACAAGAAATTGGTTACAAAATTACATATGGCCTCATTGCTGCTGCCAGGTTTGTAGACTAAAAGCTCCTAGCTGTTTCTTCTACTCCAAGTTTTCTATTAATTTCATACATTGAAATCAATTATACTTATTGTGGCAGCACAAGGGTGTCAAATGAATTGGGAGCAGGCAATCCAGATAGAGCTACGAATTCAATGGTTGTGACTCTTAGCTCTCCGTGTTTCTTTCTTTCACGATTATTCTGGCTCTTGTGTTTGGTTACAATATTTAGGCTGCCTTCTTCATTGACAGCAATGCAAGTTATGCAGTATTGAGAGAGGACTTTGTTTCAATGACACCATTGCTTGCAATTTCTATAATTGTTGATTCTGTTCAAGGTGTCTTTTCAGGTTGAGATCACTCACATTTCATCAAATTCGTTTTTTTTCTTCTGTTTTTTCTTGGTGCCCAATAATTTGATTATGGGTTTTTTCAGGTGTGGCTAGAGGATGTGGGTGGCAACACTTGGCTGCGTATGTAAATTTGGCAACTTGTTATTTGATTGGTATGACAATTTCTGGTCTTCTTGGATTTAAGTTGAAACTATATGCTAAGGTAAGGCAACCTCCTTGTTCCTGATTTACATAAAAAGCAGCTAGCTAGTAACTTCATTTGATTTGTTTTGGTCCAGGCTTGTTGATTGGTATATCTGCGGTCTTTCCCGTCAAGCAAGCACTTTTTTGTTGATTACACTGCTCAAGAAATGGACTCAAATCAGATTTATCTAAAAATCCAGAGGAGGAAAACCCAGTTTTGGTCTAGATTAATGTTAAGCAAAAGTAATTGTTAAACTGTACAACATAGACCATTTGGGAAAACTTAGTTTATACATTTATATCCAGGGAATTTTATAATAAAACATGGATTAGTATTAATCTTCCCAAAGGAAGGAATGCAACGATTGAAATCTGCTAATCAATCACATTTCACACATCTAAATCTTACATCTAAAGCCACCCATATCAGTCAGATATTGTTTCTCTCCAACAACTACCATACATAAATCTGAACAATTCCTAAGTGGCTTCCCACAATAAGTCCTGAAATTTACTGATCATTGCAATTAGGCTCTGATGCCAACTACAGCCTTAATATTCGACATTGGAG